AATGTATGTGCTATTTTGGGCTTACGTTTAAATCCACAAGTTGAAGTGAAATTGCACGAATATTTAATTTCAAACAAATACGCGTATTGAATTTTCCAAGGAATGTTTGAAAATGAAACAGATCAAATTCGGAAACAGACATGATGAACAATTGAAATGAAATGCCAATGTAGTGTTGTTTATGGAAAATGAATTTAAGCGTGTGAAGACAGCAGAGATGGACAAGAAACGTAAGGAACCTTGTAAGGACAAGGAACCTGCTGAACCAACGAGCGAGAATAGTAACTGCAACGTATGTGCTGTTATTTCAAACAGAACGTGTATCTTAGATTTTTCCAAAGAATATTTGATAATAATAATCAAATTTGGAAACAGACATGATGAACAATTGAAATGCAATGTACTGTTGTTTCTGGAAAAATGACTTTAAACGTTTGAAGACAGCAGAGATGGACAAGAAGCGTAAAGAACCTTATGATGATAAGGAACCTGTTGAGCCAGGGAACGAGAACAGCAACCGTAATGTATGTGCAGTTTTGAGTTTGCGTTTAAAAAATCCACAAGTTGAAGTGAAGTTGCACGGTTATTTAATTTTAAACGGAATACCTGTTCTAAATTTTTGCAATGTTTGAAAATAAAAATCAAATTTGGGAACAAACATAATGAACAATCGAAATGAAATGCGTGAAGCTTCAGATGAGGTACATAAATTGATTTTTTTTTTTCTAGCTCAGATCCTCTTTGCATTCTGTGCATTCAGCGGAAGTCAGACCGAAACGTGTTACGTTTGAGACTGATGTCTTGAAGACAGACCTGGAAACGAAGTACCTGTGTTTGTTTCACGACAAATTCTTTGTTTTCTGGGAGCATGCCCAGATGTTAGCAGGGAAAGACGGCAATCCATGTGGCAAGTTTTTGTATCCAGAAACATCTGTGAAATCTTACTTATTATGGGAACTGTTTCGAAGATCAACTTATAAATCTTTTGTCGATATTAAAGTTCATATTGCAGTTGAAAAGCGGTGTTTTTTTGATCTTCAAAAGGAAAATGTACAAATATATTCAAAATTATCATTCGATTTATTCTTGGGCCTTCTCCATACTTACATCTTTACAGTATTTCGTTATTCTATTCATCAAATTATGCAGTGATTAGTGACATAACCTTATGTTATGCATTATCATAGGTTCGTACAAAGGAAACTCACGTTTTTAACCATCAAATCATTCCTTTGAAGTCTCCTTTTATTTAGATGCTTGATGGTTCGTACCACTGGTACCAATATTCGGTAGCATCTATCCTCGTTTATCTTTGCCACACCTACCCTCATTAACAGTATCCGGCCGGATCCTGTCAATGATTCTTTAAAAAGTATTCGGAAGTGCTATGCATTTCCTCGCGTTCTACCAAATACGTAAATGTCATTAGCTATAAATTCTAGTTGTCACAAATACAAGTTATATGTTTCCCATTGTTTTAGCTCGTGATCAGCGCTCGCATTGATTTTTTATTCCATTCGGATTTCGTCTTATTCTTTTTTCTGCCAATTATTTGGGCGAAATTAATCAGGCAATGCGATGAAAGTGTACGGTATAAGAACTATTATGTACGGTTTATCCTGCTGAATTTTTCAGCTGTTTACAAAGATTTGAAATGTTTGCGACTTTGTGGAGTATTCGATTACCTTGCTGGACATTTCAAAGATGCAGACATGGAAAAATATTTGCTGCACGACAGATTTGCTACCGACTTGCCAGAAATGCAAACACTAGCTGTTTATAATAATGGTCGATACGTCTATTGGAGGTATATTACCTATTTTCTGCATTGTCTAGGAGTACTGAACTCATAAGTTAATTTTGAACAATATTGATTTAGTCTACTTATTAAGTAACCCTGAATTGGATTTGAAAAAACCACTTGGCTGTATTTTTCAATGGAATTTAATACTTTTTTGAATTGGGTCGTATGTATTTCCTCTAAAATCCGAGTCAGACATACGCTTTGAAGGATTTAATCAGTTCTAATCAGTCCGTGTATTGTCGTGACTGTACTAATTGACCTATTATTAATAAGTGAATAAATACCACTGATTTTGGTTTTCCAGCACAGATTATCTTCTAGATTAAATGGGATGTATTTGTCTTTCCTTCATTAATTAGGGCTCCAAAATTTTTGTCCAAATGAGGGGATTTTGGTTTTTAGAGACGAACCTAACGCTGAGAAACCGCTTATTGTTCATGTGGACAACGCCGAACATTTTCCAAAATGCATTATCATTGGTGCTGTTGATCCCTTCTACATGATTGCACATCTGGTCGGGAATACTTTGCCAGCTAAATACCGAAGCTTTTTCTCTAAAGACTGGATTGGTGAGTCAGTGTTATGGGAATTTTTTGGAAAAATTACGGACAATTTTTCCTTTTTTTCGAGAATTCATTGAAATTTATATTTAGAACGCTATAAAATGTACACTGCCGACGTGAAAATGATTATTAAATCACGCAAGAAGGAGACTGTTGGTCTTCCGTTTCATGGTATGGGAATATACGTTCATATTGTTAACGATGTTGGATATAGACCATTACAGGAAAGGACAGGTTTCTTATTCGATCATTATGAAGTTGCATTACGAGGATAACAGTCATGGCATAAAAGTTCGCATTTCGTTTAGGGCTTCTATTTTTTTTCTGTTCTATTTAGTGCCTTGATCTTGTTTTAGGAAAACTGAAGGAACTGATAAATTTGGTGGCTACCACAAGCAATGAAGATGTAAAACAGGAAAAACTTTCGAAAATAATGGAAATCATCAGCTGTATTCAGGTAATGTTTCGGGAATCATAGAGGTTTACATTAACAAGTTCGCTAATTTTCCTTCTGTTCCACAAATCTTCACTTACAAAATTAAACAGAATTAAGCACTGATGAAAATCGCTGCTTATTCTGGTAAATTTTAGTTTGCAAATGACGAGAGGGATTTTGGAATGGGTTTAGAATTCGGGCACGATTTATTTTGGTCCAATCACGGTTTCTTCGACAAGATGGCGGAAAAACTTTTGACGATGGCTTACAAGTTGCTGAATCGTGAAGCATTTGCTCGCATTTTAGAGGTACATATGCGTTTTCGTCGAAACATTTCTAATAATTTGTAAAGTGCAGAATTACTTGCAAACTTTTTTTCTTATCTCATATCTTGATTGAAGGATTTGTTTGGTCTAACAAGCAATGTTTATACCATGGTGACATCCGTGTCAGCGGCTCACCATCAGTTTGTAGTTCGAGCCCCATTCATGCTGCGTTTGCCACCATGAAATGAAGTATAACATTTTTCTTGGTGATAGTTCAACATGTAGGTCTAATATTTCCTACAATATTAGTCAATTGTAGTAATGCTGAAGCGTGAAATATTACAATCTAATTTAATTTTTGCATCATTTTCTGCACTTTTCAAGGTGAATGGTTGTTATATCTTTAAATCACTTTTTTTTGGAATCGTTTAGTGCAATTAATAACGAGATCCCTGTTCTGAACGTAACTGAAATTTTAAAATTGCATATATAGATTTTTTTTTCTATGCATAATATACTCGTTAAAAAGTGTTCCTGTAAAGAGATATTGTTCCGTCTTCAGAAGGAAAGTTTTACAATTCGCGTAAAAGGTAAGTGCATTAAGGAATACTGTTGTTTTTTTCCTTTGTTCTTTTTTTTATATTGGTTTGTGCCTGTTTGCTTTTTCTGAATGTTATTTCTACCAGGTAGAAATCACAGTTGTTTGTTATTGTTCTTTCTTTCCGATTCTTATTTTGCATATACTCAGATCTGAGTACTGCCTTATCCTACCTTTTCACTTTGATGCAATTCGAAACACTCACGTCTAATGATCTCCAGTTTTATTCGCATCGTGTAACAGTTCATTGTACTATCAAGGAAATTTTTCGTTCTATTAGTAAGAAATAAGAGGAGTAAATTTTTATCACTTACATAGCTTTCTGTTAGGCAGTCTGAATACGGGAAGCCGTTCAAAAATAAAATGACAGAAAAGTAACGAGTATTAGATTCGAAAGGTAAAGAAAAGTGACAGGAAATCACAATCGTTCAATACCAAAATCTGGAATTATCAGAATGGGGAAATTCTGGACTAATATCTTGAAACGTGGTGTAGATCGTTGCACTGTTTATATCACGCAAATGATTTGTTTTGTAATGCGGAAATGGTATGATCAGATACGATGGAAAGAGAGTGACAGAACGACTTGTGCAAGATGGTAACTTTCATTTCAGTAAGTGGTAAATAAACCGGGTCAAGGAGTAGCCTAATTTTGGTGACAGATTAATTACCATCGGGAAACAATTGTTCTAACACCTTTGCGGAGACGATTACATAAACAAACACAGATTCTTTTATTGATTACTGGTCGGATAAAACGAAATCCAGGATCACAAGACATGTAATATTTTATTTATATTGGTAAGAAGATATCGGTTTTACCACTACAGTTTCTATGCTGAACCATAGATACCGAAGTGGTTGTAATACTGATGATATTTCATTCATGTATTTATTGATACGATAGTTATATAATATAAAGCGAAACGGAATGAATGTGTTAACATTTCAGAGGCTTATATGGAAGCTGCCTCATCCAGTTGTTAGTCGAAGTGTTATGATCTTTTAGATATGGAATTTAAAAAAAAAAAAAAAAGTACCAAAAGTATTCATAGAGATTGGCGATTCTTTCTCTAAATTGATCTTACATTTTTTGGACCAAATAGATTTTGGATGAAGAACTTAAATGCCGACAACTTTGTTATAAGAAAGAGTAGGGAATTCGGGATATCATATCACAAGGTGTTTCGGGAAGTAGATGCCTCTGACTTCCAATTTCTGAGCTCTGAAGTTACCTCGAGATAAGTTATGTTTTATAAATTGTTCAAGCCTGTCAATAATATCGTGTTTGTTGGTCGCACGTCGCATCGTAGCTTGTCACGTGTGGTCAGTGATAACAATCGAGAGATCCCTAGCTACTATATTGGTGGCAGCAGTGAAGAGATATAAATAATGTGTCGAGAAGATACAGTGTATCTTCAATGTATATGGGTTTCTCCAAAATGATGGAACGGATGGATAAAACTGGAATATGAGTGACGCAGGGACTGATTACGTTACGCTAATAACAGGAATGATAACAGCGGTATCAACAGAAATTACAATGAGAACAAAATTTTCTTTTTTTTTGAAATGTCTATAAAAGTAGTTGGCAGGGATTGATTTGGGCGTTAATGAATGCTCGAGGGGAGAGAGGACGGGAGGTGAGAAGGAAACTGAAGGGGAGGGGGAAAGAAGGTGGAAGGTATCGGAAGACCTTGAAAGGGCGGCCAACCTGTGTTTGCTTTCCCGGTGTGAAGGATTGTCCCCCAATTGTTCACATGTGGTTGTCGCTGTTTCTGTTCGTGTATAACGTTTGCAACGGTGTAGGCGCAGTTGTCGTTGGACAGTGCTGTCGAAAACGTGGCGTGACGGAGACGTGCACACGGATGCTGTGTAATCCTCAGAATCCACCCAATGATTTTGATGTTTACAATATTTTTGAACGAAAATTGAATTGTCAACCGTATATGAATGCAATCTCTGAATGCTTGGCTGATGGTCGTGATCATATTCATTGCTGTATGAGTGAAGCGAAAGATCGTGATGAAAATGCTTGCTTTGGTATGTGTCGTGGTGAAGGTATCGATGAAATTGCAGCCTGGGATAAGTATCAGACCTGTTTAGCTATCAATTTACATCCTATGTTTCGTTGTTTCGAGCGTGGTTATTTGAACATTCCCACATCACCTCTATCGTTACACATCGTTTCTAAAAGCACGGACAGTGTCGTGATCTCCTGGTCACCACCAGCGGTTAATTCAAATCTTGCGGAGTCGTATGAGGTTATCTGTAAAGAAGCTGATAGTGGTTTCATCGAAAAGACCATCAATACTCAAAGTTATAAGGTTACGCTTACAAGTTTACGCGCTGATAGCAAATATTCGGTACACGTAATTGCAGTAACTCGTGACGGACGCCATCGATCGTTACCTTCCGAAACGGTTCATTTTTACACGGCTGGGATAGCACCTAGGGTTGTTCCATATCGTGAAACTGTTTCAATTCCCGGTGATGCATCTTCAGTGACAATTGCTTGCCGAATGGAAATGCCCGGTACCATTCACAAAAGTGCTCACTTTGAATGGAAGAAAATGCAAGAAAAAACGGGTCATTGTGAGAAGATTGGAGGGGATAAGTATAGCTTCATGAATTATATTTCATCCCATGAACATCCACGGCATTATGTTTCTACTCTTCAAATCAAATTTTTGGAGCCATCGGATTTCGCTACCTATCGTTGTATTGCAACCAATGATTTCGGTAGTTCCAGTGCTGATATTCGAGTGGTGCAACGTGTGTTAACCTCAGCAACGCCAATACCACCGGAACCACCATACACGTGTTGTCAGCGTTTGGGAATTCGATCACCGTGTGTTGCCGTTTGCGGTTCTGAATTCGGTAAACATGTCTCTCTACGAGCCGAATCATTCATCAACAGCCACTGTGAAGACGAAATAAGCAAATTTCTTACTTGTACAACAGCAGGAATTGATGAAGGTGCCTGCTGTTTACGAAAAAAGGTCCCCGGTATTTGTTTACCACTTTGTGATGGTTTTCAAATGAACAAATTAGATACTATTCCACATGCATGCGCTGTATATACGTTCTCCATATTTCAATGTCGAATGGAAAATGCTGATAGTCGACCGGCTACCGTATCTGGCTTAAAGGCTATTCCAAATCCAGATGGTGATTTAATATTACGTTGGGATTTAACGCCACGTGCGGATATGTATCACGTTTATTGGAAGCGTAAATTTTCAACAACCTGGGAATTGAGTTCTGTTGTAACAACCAGCAAACGTATTTTTGATAATGCTGCAAATGATATCGATGAAATTGTCGTTGTAGCATCAAACAGTTTCGGTAATGCTCATCCAGTACGGTTAATTCATAATGATGATAAATGGACCGCTTCATATCATTTCCAATTCTGATCTCAATATCCAAAATTATCATTCATTTGCAAAAATTTATTGTCTTATTGATAAATTGCAAAATTATCTACTAGAATTTCAGATAATTCCATATTTTCCAAATTTAAAACTATTTCCATTTCACCTTTTAATATTTTCTTCTTTTCTTTCTCTTTCTCCCTCTCTCTCTCTCTCTCTTCCTTTTAGCAGTTGATACTGTCTCGTAACTGATCTCGTATCTTTACGTACTAATGCTAACCTAAACGCATTATATCAATAAGCCAACCTTAGCTGTAAACATTTTCTGTAATGATTGCAAGGAAATACCAAATAGTATTATGATATCTACAATTTGTCCCCTTTTCATTCTCATTTCTTACAACTTGCAAATCTCATGTAGTTTGCTATATTTGACCTTCACCTGTGAAGAATATTTATTGGTTCATATGAAAGCAAAAATGATAAACGTCAGGTGTAAATGTTATATGATGCATATATGATACAATGATAAGAAAAACGTCATAAGAGCAGTGATAAGCACTTTTCTTTTTTTTTTCTTTGCTTTCATTTATAATATGTAAAAAATCCATCCGAAAATATCCTATTTTTAGTTTTAATTTTCTTTTTCTGATAATTTTAACTATCGGATTATTCACTTATCAATTACACATTGTTTTCCAATCGTAACAATCCTCTTTATGAGGGAAGGCATTAAAATATCAATTGTCTAATCATTCTATTTTATTTCGATTATTAATTAAACTAATAAATTCTAATTATTAACATATGAATTATGTGTAACATTGAATTTGTATTATTCCATACAAACAACATTTTGATCCTATTTAAATTATTACACAAATTATCACATCTTAATAAGGTAGATGGATATTCTTTGCCTATCATTTTTCAGTAATTATTTAAAGATGTATTGTTATTATTAATTGCTGGTATGTACAGTGGTTGTAAACCAATATATATTGCGATACAAGTAATGCTTATATATTGTATGAATGGAAAATGCAAAATAAATTTTCATCTAATATATGTTACAATTAATTTTACAACATATATGAAATACAATTTGCAAATTATTCGATTTCATGGTTTTTTTTTTTTTTTTTTTTGTAAATTCGTTGATGTTTGAAATTTGAATTAATTAATTTAAAATTAAAGATGATTAAATTTGAGAAAAAGCGATAATTACTTGCTTCAGCGATTCCTTTTTGCAAGTAATACAGAAACTTCATGTTTAAATCATATATTTGGAAAAATTTTCATTCAAATGTTAAAAATTTTCGATTACATTCTTGCTATGTAATTTCACATCAACACTACATTATCATTATCATACAAATATAGTTGAAACGTATTTTAGTAACTATTTCCGGTACATATTTCCTCATCCGGATGAATCTTTTAGTCCGGATAAATCTTTTAGTTATACCAATTATATTTAAAAATCGTACTTTTACACCTCCGCACGTTAGCAACGTAATTCAGGTAATTTATAACATTGAAAAATGGGAAGAAATTTAGTAAATTTTATTCAATTTTATTAAATTCCCTCATTTCTGTATTGCAGGAATTACTTTAATTATGAGGTAATCCTTTAAATGATTATAAATTACTGAAATGACATATATGACATTTGCGCTCCATTCTAATTTGTGGTATGGGAAAAAAGAAAAAAACAAAACGTCGGGATTAGTTGTTTCATCGAATAATTACGCGGGAATTTGAAAAAATGCGCGAAAAATTGATACATTTGAGTAAATTGAGAATAATGGGTACAATTAGCGCTTAATGGAAAATGCTAGAATATTGGTGATGCAGAAGTTGATAACAGTGGTGATATAGATTAATGATGGTGCAGAAAAATGATACCGATAATTATATGTAGATTTACGTAAATTGTGTTAATAGCACGTGATCCATATATGTTTACGTGAGTTAAATCAGTGATTGTCGCTGATTACGTTTTCCCTAAAATTAATCTTTATGTATTGCAAAAGGAGCATCATTAGTTTTCTATTATGTCACATATCATTTTTATTTTAAAATTAAAAAATTAATTTAGTTGTAAACTAATAATTAATTAGTTTACTATCGGCAATTATTCTTGTTGAAATTTAAACAAAAACTACGAAGACAAATGACACATTTCGTTATTCTACCTGTTAAAGAAAAAAAAACAAACATTGGATTGGTTTATAGTGATTTTGAATGGTATATTTGGAAAATCATCGATTGTTCATGAATTAGTCATGATACATGGACATGGGCTGCCTTTTTCATGAATCACGGATCATGTAAATTTCCTTTCTCTTAGATTATAGATCATGTTGACTCCCTTTCTCCTAAACCATGGTTCACTTGATGTGGATTCCCTTTCTCCTAAACCTATGGATCACTTGATGTGGACTCCCTTTCTCCTAAACCATGGGTCACTTGGGCTCCCCTTTTTCACGGA